AAATGCCTTGCCAATTGGAATTGACCCATCTGTTTCCTGCCAAGCAATTAAATAGTAGATTGTGTAATCTACTGAACAAATGTGAAATGGTGGAACTCTTTTTAATTACTAAAACTTGGGGTGAAGGTGACAGAGCAGAGGGGAAAAAATAATACAACTATCGATTGGGTCAAGGTGAGAGAGGCGGGGGAAAGTCTCCTTGAAAGATTCGGGGGTTTAATTAGACTTTAATTGAAAATACTGGGCTTACAACAGAGCATTCTATACTTTAAAAGAAAAAAAAAAGGCTAGGATCCAGACTGCCACGCCTTGGGGAATAAAGATCACCCATTACGGCATTTTTTTTGTGTGTGTGGCCAATTTCGCAGCTGGAATGAAGCACCTCAACTTGTCCTTCTCGGCCTGTGGGTTTCTGGGCATCTACCACTTGGGGGCAGCATCGGCTCTCTGTAGACACGGCCAGAAGCTCCTGAGAGACGTGAAGGCGTTTGCGGGGGCTTCCGCGGGATCCTTGGTTGCTTCTGTCCTGCTAACGGCGCCCGAAAAAATAGAGGTAATTACAGTAGGAACAAGGACGCGTTCCTCGGCGAGCAGTTAAGACCGAGCTGCAACGATGCACGTCAACGCCAGGACGAAAGCGAACTGCACAGAAATAACACTCGGCCTGCGGGACGTAAAGGGTTAAAAAAATCTGACAATGTAGTCAATGGGGACATCTGTGCTCTGGATTTGGAAACGATTAGTTTGGGTGACAGTGAGACGGGAACTAGAATGCCTGGTTTTAGTCTTGAATGTTTATTGAGTCTTAAGAGTGCAGCCCTGTTTTTTTTGTTGTTTTTTTTTCAAGCCAAGTATATTGCTTCCTTATCTGATCCTGAGAAGCGCACGGGGCCTGTTTGCAAGGCCTCGAACACGTGGCCCGTAAGTCTGTTCGCGTCTGCGCACAAACAGACACATGCATTAAAAAGAAGGTGGGCCTATGATTTCTATTAAGCGGGGTAATATTAGAATTTAATTTGTGTTTCATTCTCACTGTACAAAGAAGGCTTGAATGCCAAGCACTTTCTCCAGAAGTCATGAAAAGCAGCCCTCGTTAAGTATGTCATTTAATGCAATCTATGTATTAAACATCCGTGTTTTGCTTCCAGGCAGCGATGACGCGTTTGCTGAGTCTGAGAACTGACTTCTTGTAGGAGGAGAATATTATATTTGTTAATTACCTACAGGCTCAAGCGGGTCTGAATAATAATCCAATGATGACTAGCACAGTCACGCCCAAGAATACAGTGAAGTCCCACTTAAGTTTTAAAACTACCGCACATGTGAAACATCAGAACTCTTCCAGTCTGCGCTGGGCGGCTTACGAAAGACAACCTGGACAGGAGGCCACGCACTCGGAAACCCATGTGTTTTCCTCTAGTCTTTGTACGGTGACTTAGTGGAGAACTGAAAAAGTGATTAGAAACCGTAGAGATGGCACAGGTGGAGAACCTAAAGTCAGGGAAACTTATAGGTCAGGTGTGGAAACACCCCCCAAACTAGAAGTCAGATAGGCTCTGACTTGCAAGGAGTTCCCTCCCACACTTTGTGGGGGTTTTTGGAGCAGGAGCTACTGCGGTCCATCCTTTTAATGGGGCAAATCCTGAGCTCTGGGGTTGGGTAGACTCGGCGGAGAATCCACAGCAGGGTCAGAAGTGTCTTCAGTCTGACTTAGAGTTAGCATGATCTGGAAATACTGCAATCCTCCAGCCCCTTACCGGGGTTTCTGTGATGTGCAGACATGGAACAGCGTAGCCGAATCTGAGACGTGAGTCACGGTGTTCTCAAATCCCACGGCCTGTCCTTACTTCCTTTTCAATATATTGGAGACCCAGTTGTCTTGTCTAATTGTGCCGCTAGGACCTAAGAGTACGTCTGTTGCCGTTCACGTTGGAGGCTGGAAAACGACTGTTTACCTAAAGGCGTCCTCATGCCTCCTTTTTCAAAATCAATGTTCAGCCATGTGTCTTCAGGTCATTTCGCCTCTGTTCTGGCTCGCCTTTGACGCACGCCGCTTGTAGGACGGCTGTGAGTTTTCTGCACTCGCTGTTTCTACCCGCGCCCAGCCCTGTTAGCTCTGTTCTCCCCGACGGCCTCGGCCTGTCGACTTCCACCTCCATTTCCCGTCCATTTCTCATCATATTGCAGGTCCCAGCCTAGATGTCCTGTTGGAGGGACGCCTTTGGGGACCCCTGAGGTGGGAGGTTGACGCCCCTCTGTTTCCTGTCACTGCTGCCAGGAATGACCATAGCTTAGTGGCTTAAAACGGCACACGTTCTATGACAGTTCTGCAGGTCACGTGTCTGTAAAGGGCTCGCTGGGCTGACAGCAGAGCGTCCGCAGGGCCGTGCCCCCTCTAGGGGACAGTCCGATTCCTTGTCTCTTCCCATAGCTGGAGGCTTGCGGCCCGTTCCTCCACCTTTAAAGCCATAAGCATCGCATCTCTTTCCCTTCCAAGGACCTGTGTGATGACATTGGGCCCACCTGAGGCATCCAGGGTCCTCTCCCCACCTGGAAATCTTTACCTGAATCGCACCTGCAGAGTCCCCTTGGCCACGGAAGGTCACACAGTCCCAGGTTCTGGGGACTAGGATGTGGACACCTCTGCGGGGAGGTGGGAGCTTGAATCTGCGACCTCACAGGTGCTGTGACAACAGTGGGACCACCGTTGTCACCTCACTGAGGCACTCCCAGGTGTCCCCAGGGCACGGGCTCTTTCTATCTCATTGTCACACAATCCCCGTGAGGAGCCCAGTGCCTGGTGCCTGGTAGGCTGCTGAATGAATGAATGAATGAATGAATGAATGGACAGACCTGGGTTCAAATCCTGGCTGTGACCCTCACGTTCGATGCGATACTCAGGACGATCCTGCATCTCTCCGAGCTTGTTTTCTCACCTGTCGAGCAGGTGGTTGTAGCCACCTTGCAGGGTCCCGTGAAGATGCGCTGAAAGAGGCTGCGTCCTGTGGATCGCAGCTCTGTGGGTCATCAGACCCCCGTAGGACCCTTTCACGACATGCCGGCGCCCAAACCTGGTCTGCAGAGCCTCTGATTTGGGGCCTGCATGACCGTCCCCAGGACCCCTCTCTCTGATGTCGGGGTCCTCGTTTGTAACCAGCACGGTTGCTGAGGCCACGGAATTGGGTGGGAGAGGAGGTTGACTGGTTGGAGCGTTGAGAGTCCAGCTCTCAAGGATGTCCGCATGGGGGCAGTGCCGTTTGGGGTGACCTAAAAGGAAAAGGTTGGACCTGAGCAAAGCCTTCGCTTGCCTGGCGACCAGGAATGGTGGGGGTTTGCACAGCTGTGGAGGAGCGTGGCCCCCAAAGCCTGGCGCTGGGTGTGTAGGGCAATCAGCACCCAGTCCTTGAATCACAATAAACATTTTCACGAAATGTAGAGTCACCTATGCATTTTCTCTTTCAGGAATGTAACGCGTTCACCTACACGTTTGCCGAAGAAATCCGCAGGCAGTCGTTTGGGGCAGTCACCCCTGGCTATGACTTCATGGCGCGATTGAGGTAGGTGTGTGTATCGTACAGAGTCCATGTCTCCCCACAGCCTGAGAGGACAGAGCGTCCGGGACACGCTCTAACCCGTGGCCGGCTCCGCGCGGCCCTCCATCTCCTGAAATACGTACAAGGCGTTCAGTAATCCAAGGTGCATGACCCAGGCCCCTTTCCCCCCTTTAGGAGTGGCGTGGAGTCCATCCTCCCTCCCAACGCTCACGAGCTGGCCCACAACCGACTGCACGTGTCCATCACCAACACCCAGACCCGAGAGAACTCCCTGGTGTCCACCTTCCCCTCCAGGGAGGACCTCATCAAGGTAACACGGCCCCGCTTTCCCACCAAATGACGTCAGGAGGGCTCGTTTAAATTCTGCTCCCCAGCAGAGAGCATCCCCGCGCTCCTGCAACAGAAGACCAGGGGTGGGGGGATTTTCCGGGACGCACTCGAGGGTATGCTGATTGCCATGGGAACGGCTACCAGAACCCAGGTCTCGAATTTTCCATCTGACGTTCCCGTTTCTTTCTTCCATTTGGTTCTCTCCAAACGCCTCTGAGAGTTGGTTGGTTGAGAAGTGATTCTCTCTGGGAAATCGTCGGGTGTGTGATGTGTAAGTGACAGTGTGCTGGCTAAGGGAATACGCTCAATATTTGTAAAACGGAAAGGATGCAGTTTTACAAGAGCTGGGCAATTTTATTTGTTCTTTTCTTTCGTGGGGATCATAACAAGCTTTAGGCGACACGGAGAAGGTGCGTTTGGGTGCAGAAGGGGACAGATTGGGAGTGAGTGGTCGACGTCTGCCGGCCCTGGATGACAGATGCATTGATTCTTCCTATCGAATGTTGCCGTTCGAGTGTCACTCTTCGGATGCTATACCTTGACATACCTGATGAAATGTGGGACGGACCAGTAAAATTACGCTGTGATTTAAGAGATTACAATATTTGTCCTTGGCGTACTGAGGACGCCAGCCTCTCCCCGATGCATTAACAGTCGTTCTGTCTTAGGAAAAGACACGTGTCTGTCATCTTGTGATAACCTGATGGAGCGGTACAGAATATAAAGGGAGAAGCAGGTCCATCCAGGCCTGAGTTGTCACACACCGTTGATGCCAGTATAAATATATAAGGCTGGCAGGGTGCTGGAATCCGGCTTCCGGTCAGTAGGGGACCACGGCTGTGTGTCATTGTGTGCTGAGACGTGACATGTGACGGGTTCTTCCCCCAGCATTCCCCTCTCGTTGAGTCTGTCCTGAGCTACCCGATGGGCAGTGGCAGAGCGCCTGGTGGCGCCTGTAACCCATCCTGGCTTACTCATCACGGTGGAGCACGTGCATAGCTTACTGCGTTCTTTATTTAGCTTTTATTGTCTATCTTTCTTGACTAGAATGTAAGCTCCAAGGGGGCAGAGTTGCGGGGTCTCGCCCACCGCTGTCGCCCCAGCTCCTGGCACAGTGCCAGCCGGCTCCCTCACCCTGTGGATGCAGATAGATAGGTGAATAAATAAATGAACTGAGGTGGCGCCTGCTACCACGGCGTGATTGACAACGAAAGAGAAGAGCATAGACACTGGACCTACATGCCCAGGGGCCTGGACAAAAGATGGGGTTGTCAGAAAAGTCATGATGTATTTTTTTTCTATGTGTTTCGTTGCAAAAATGCGTCACGACTTTTCCGACAACCCAATAGTTGAGCTGGGACGACAGTCCAGGTGTCTGATGTCCTTCCTGATGACACCGCAGGCTGCAGAGAATCCCGTCCTCCCAGTCCCTTCTATGTGGGACAAGGATGTCCACACCCCAGCCCACTGGCCCCGCAAACATGTCACCTTGTGTGGTGAAATGAAAGGGATCCCATTGTAGGGGAGATGGAAGTAACGGTCTTCAGGTGGTTCCCAGCAGACCCTGGACCTGCTGACCCCTTCCTCTCAGACGTCTGAGCCTCTAGAGCTGTGACACTTAAATGTCTGTTGTTTGTAAGGCACGTTCTGAGCGCGCGAGGAAACTGGGCATGTGACGAGGCCGTGTACAAGCCGTGCTGGGGTCCTGGGTCGGTGTCTCTCCGCCGCGTGTCCCGAAATGCAGGAAGAGACCAATGGTGTCAGCGAGGACTCGGTCATCCGAAGCAAAACGGAACTTCAGGATTTGGCACATTCTCCGCCCGTCCTTAAGGAAAAGAATGAGAACCTGTTCAGAGCAGAGCAGAAGCGTCTGATGAGGACATGAGTCTGCCATCTAAACACAAGCCAGGACCTATTGTCCAACACAGCGGTTCTCAACCTGTGGGTCGCGACCCCTTTGGGGGTCGAACGACCCTTCCACAGGGGTCGCCTACGACCATCGGAAAACAAAAAGATATTTACATGACGATTCATAACAGTAGCAAAATGACAGCTATAGAGTAGCAACGAAAATAATTTTATGGTTTGGGGGTCACCACAACAGGAGGAACTGTATTCAGGGGTCGCGGCATGAGGAAGGTCGAGAACCGCTGGTCCAAGACAATGGAAGGATGACCGACCCCAGAGGCATTCAGACATCGTCAGGGCCGCCCCTCGGATCACAGGCCCAGAGTGCCAGCTCCCAGGAGCGCAACACCACTGCACAGACCCCCACTAGCGCCGTGCCCAGCAGAGCCACAGGAGAGTGGGGCCACCCCCCCCCCGATTACCCTCTAGGACCCTGGACCCTAAGCAACCACCACGCATGCAGTGTGTCCCGCTGCAGGCAGCAAGTCCAGGCACAGAGCCAGGTACTCATCACAGGCCCCCTGCGACTCCTTGCTCGGTGGGCCCCTTCACACCTTGTCCCCTGAATCTCCAAGTGTGTACGTGGTCAACGCGTTGAAGTTCCAGATTTTATATTCTGGGATTTTTTTTTTCACGCAATCAGGAAACACAAGTGCCTTTTAATGTTAGCCTTCAGCAGAGCGTAATCAGGGAGGTACGTCCTGTGTTTCTGAGAGTCCTATGTCACCTCCACCGCTGAGCAGACGTGACTTTGAAGCCGGCCGTGCCACAGACTGGTGGCAGACTGCCCCTTGTCCGAATGAGCACGCATCACTGAATTCTGTGTGTTTAAAACGGGTGCCCACACGTGGCCCGAAATGGCCTTTTGACAGATGTGCGTGAACCCCCTTTGAGGTTTCTGCCCAGAAGACTTCCATGCATGGCGGGCTCCCTCTTGGGAGGAAGCACCGTGTCCCCGTGGCTAGGATGTCCCAAACGCCCCTCCACACAGCCAGCAGATACTGCAGCAAGCTCTTCTCACGTGGAGCCGCTGGGAGGTGAAGTGAGGACGGAATTTCAGATCAGCCATTATTTTGGGAAGACTCCAGAGGGGGGGAGATAAATTTGAATCTGACTTTGAATTCCAACGGCACCAGCAGGTTCTGAATAAACAGCCATATTCTCATTAAACTCCACAGTCGGCTCGCGGCATAAATGAAACTTGAGAATTTATCCTCCAAGGCAGCCAGGCCTCATCATTGTCTTAACACCCCTTTTCTGTAAGACGCGAAATGAAGACAGCTCGTTGGAACGTGCGTCGCATGCAGTTGGCAATGTTTTATACAGGGGCTACAGGAAGCCAGTGACTTTTACTTTTATCGCCGCATATTCCGTAGGAATGACACGAAACCCAAATCGACGGCTTCACGTACACGTAATGCTTCAAGTGCTGAGCCAAGTGACGCCACCCGGAAAGGGGGTTCCTGCTGTTGGCATCGGTGTTCTGCACCCAGACTGTCTCCAGACATTGCTACATGTCCCCATGGGGCAGACACCCCCGGATGACAACATCAGTCTTCTCTTGCTTCCTTAGAAAATTCTACTTGCTTGCAAGAAAATGGCAATACGCTGACGACGCATAAGAGATGTCACTTCGTTCTTAGCTGTCGGAAGCTAACGGCCCCGCTAACTTGGTTGATGTAAAAACCGCCAGCCCTTTGACAGGGAGAGTGAGCGATGCTGGAGCAAATACCTTGATTTGGAAGTGACAGGTAGTTTACAGTTCAGCACGCCCTTCCTGTCATTTAGCAGGACGCTTAACGGTTATTATCTGTAGGGAAGTAATTGGACAGCGTTTTTCATCCAAACACTTGAGAAGAAACCCGGGCATTAAGCTGTGAACCTCCCATTAGGCTTGGACACACAGGAAAAAAGAGCCGGCATAATTCTGGTTCTAAGCGCAGGAACGGGTTTTTTTATTTCGCAGGGCACGTATGTCTGTGCAGTGTGTGACATAAACCGTGCGAGTTGTGGTGTCGGCTCTCGAAAGGCCTCTCCGTGCTGTCATTTCGCAAAGCGTGTGCTCTCAAGAACCACCTCGCCTCGTGCTGGTGCAGGGGTACATCGGGCTGAAGAACTTGACCAGATGACCACACTGCTCGCAGAACAGGCCTAAGGGGTGCGGTGGGGTTCATCAGCAGGTGTAGCCAGCGGCCGACATGGCCACGCCGAGCAAGGACTCGTGCAGTGACCGTCCCTGGAAACAGCCTTTGCAGGAATGACACAAACCGCTGATGTGGTCGCGGCTCCCGGCGGGCTGAGGCGTGCGGGGCTGGGCATGCTTGCTTTCCACCGTGTCCTCCCCAGTGATCTGCTGTGTGGCCTGCCCGACATCATGTGACGCGACACCCCCGGCTGCCCAGCGCCGCGCACTGTCACAGCACTGGCCGAAAAGCACGCCAAAAGCCGAGGCTTTGAGACGAATGCCCGAGTACAGGCGTGTCTGCACAGATGCTGCTTTGTGGGTGGCTGGCCGGTGTCGGGCAGGGTGGCATCGTACCCTGCGTCAGTACTGCCCACATGCTGTCCTGCCTGGTGACCTGTGCGTTCCCTTCGCCGTGGGCCCGCAGCTGACGTGCCGGTTCTGGCACCGCGGACATGGGTTACACTGCCAGCTGCTTCCTCCTTCCCTGTGGAGTCCTTGTGCTGTGCCCGTACGCCCCTCAGGTTGGCACTACCCAGCCTGATGCCCCAGACACAAGCAGGACCTCTCCCCTGTCTTCTTTCTGCCTCCACCGTTGAGAGTGGAAGCAGCATCAGGGGCCTTCGTGCCTCCCACGGAGAAGGGAGGGTACCCACAGGTGTGTGCGCGCAGCCCCGATAGCCTGACTGGGGCGCGAGGACACACAGACCGTGCCCCTCGGCGGGGTTTGGGCTGCGAGGGGCCAGGACACGGGTTAGAGACACAGGGAGCCGTGGCCACGTGCAGCACACGCAGAAGTCAACGGGCTCCCACTGTGACGTTCCAGCCCGGAGGGGACTTGCCCGTAGAAACCGTGCCACGCTGGTGGGTGGCTGCGTCTGTCCTTCCGTCTGCGTTCAGAATAAACAGCCTTTGAGAGCTGGCCTCACACGTCATACCTATAGACTGTTTCTGTGGGGAAAGTGCCCTCTGAGATCCCAGTCATTCAGACGGATGATTTACACATCAGCTGGGGGCCACTGTCCATTTCCGAATCATATTTACGGAAAGAAAACCTGAACACTGACAGCAATCCGCCGGTCTTCACATGTCCGTCGAAAGATCGTCACTTAAATACTCAGTCCTAATGCTCTGTCTTCCCAAAGAGAACCCAAGCGATTCAGACGTAGTTTCCCTGCAAAATAAAACACGTACGTGTCAGGCAGGCTCCCACGCCCAACTTCTGTGGAAGAAATGGCGGTATTTTCAACGGCAATCTCTCTCGACGTTTCAAAAGGAAAAGAAAGAAAACATGGGGCCCCATACCTGCCACTGGCCCATTACATGTCCAGACCATGTCGCCAACGCATGAAAAGTGTTGCTCCCTTAGCGACATCCTGGTGACATGAAGTAGAACATCCCCAAGCTGCCAGCTCCTCTCCCTGTAATAACAGAGGGGTTTGTTCCTCTGCAAAATGTGAGTGCGCCTCTCAAAGGGATGTTTGCAGCATGGGGTACAAGAGTGGAAATTGTTCACTTGCAACCGGCACATACTCAAGAATTTAGACTTACCTGGACTTGAATCTTGTAATGACCCGGTTGTCTAGAATTAAAACGCCGATTTTGCTCAGGGGAAGTCGAGCGAGTCAGAATTGTGCATCTCTCTGGAGGGTGTTTCCAGATACCAGCAAAATGCATCATCTATGTACGTGGGTCCCGTGGTGCACTTGACACGGATGGAAGTTTTTTTTTTATAGTGCATATTTGGTTTTAAAACCAAAATTTAGAATTTTGTAGCCAATAGCATGGAGCCAGCTGTGTGCGTTCATGAGCTCTTTCTTTCTTTTCTCCACCTAGGTTCTCTTGGCGAGCAGTTTCGTGCCCATTTACGCCGGACTGAAACCCGTGGACTATAACGGGCAGGTAACGATCTTATAACCGAGGGACGGTCCATCAGCCCCGCGTTAATATGTCTTCTTTCAAGAATCCCATTTTATAATTATTCGGTGGCTGCAAATCAGTGCATGTGATTTATTTTCATAAAGAGTTTTACTTCTGTTAACAGGGAAAAAAATAAATTCAAGTGCAGGGGCCCTGGTACGTTATTGTCAAGATCTCACGATTGAGAATGTTTACCTGGGACGCTCGGTTTTACATCTGCTTAAAACACTTTATCCTTTGTTTCCTAAAGGATTAAAAGACTTTCTTCCCCTAATAAAGTCCTATTCACAGCCCCTTCTCTAAACAGCGAGACACAGAAGGGAACTATCAGGGTGAGGAAAGTCATCGGGGAGCTGGACACCTGCCCCCCCACCCCCAAACAATGCCGAGAACGTCAATCCATCCCGCCCCTGGGGAGCCCTGGTGGTCAGCAAGCTCCACTTCTGGCCTCTATTTTCCATGATGTGTTTGTCCAGAAGCAGCTTTCCTCCCCGGAGCCCTCTCTTCCTTCACTCGGGGCTGCTCTGCCGGCAGGAGGCCCGTCCCCCAGAGACAGTTAGAGGCGAGGTGGCCTGCGGGCTGCTCTGGGCGTGGCCCAGGGTAGGTCAGCACCCCGCTTTCTGCACTGCAACCCGCGACTGTGCCACACGCGAGATGCAGCGAACGTGAGCTGACTGTTGTCCTCCGCATGAGGGATGGTAGCTCAGGGGACAGCAGCGCAGGGCCAGCTTGCACGACGGATTTGGGGAGCGTTTTGCCAGGCATTTTCTTTTCTTGGAGGATGATGGTGCTGGGTGCTGAATAAACACAGGCCAACACAGAGGGGCCGGTGCCACTGCTACACCATCTGGACGCCAGGTCAGCTGATGGTTCCCGTAGGCGTGTGTCCAATCAGAACAAATGAGGAGAAGCAAACGCCATCTGGGAGAAGGATCTTCAGGCCCCGGAAACAGCCGTCATGACCCTGTGGTCACTTACAGAGCTTAACGGGCCAACGAGTCCTTCTCGTTGGCAAGCCGGAGACGTCACGTGAGCTCTGACTTCAGTTACAGGATGCGGGGTGCAGATGTCCCTGGATGAAATCCGTACACATGTTTGCATCGCTCACGCACTATCCTACTGAGACTTTGATAGATAATTTTGGAAGGTTCCTTTTTTTTCTCTCTCTCTCTCTAGGTATTAACTTATTTCAGAAATTGGCACCCATGCCCCCAAAAAAACAGGCAAAAAATAAATAAATAAAAAGAGCAAGTTGTGGGACAGAAACAGATATTTTATAAGAAGTCCTTCTTATTAGAAACCTCGTTTCTGAAACGGTTGATAGACACCTATACATATATATATAAACATCTCTACACATACGCATCAGATACACAAACACGTGAATGTGTGTTCAATACACACACACAGGAATGTGTGTCTATATCATGCACATGATTATATAGTAATAACTACTATGTTCTTTAAAAAGTAACGACAATATACAAAGTATGCAGGTCAGGTTCATTGTAATCTATTCATGTTTCCTCCTCCACCCAAACACAATTCCCTCAACAGAAATTTTCAACACGTTTTCACTACTTATTTACTTTCATTCCCCGTCAGGGACTTGGTCGCTGGCCAAGGCCATTGTAAACAATGCAGGACCGATCATTTAGTGTCCAGCTTTAGAAATAAAAACAAGTAAGAAAGACATTAAAAAAACAAAAACAAAAACCCTTAGCAAAAAGGGATGAACTGAGTTAAAGGCATTTGACGGAGTGAAGGCTGTTTGGTACTGACCCGTTTCTGCCTCGTCACTCTACCTTTGTGCTAAATCACACAGTTTTGGTTTTCTACATTATATTTTAAAGGCTCACATGAAACGCAGTGTACAGCCCTCGCTAAAGAGTCCTTTGTCGGGGGGGTGGCGATCAGCGAATAACAGACTTTTTCTTTCTTTCTTTCTTTCTTTCTTTCTTTCTTTCTTTCTTTCTTTCTTTCTTTCTTTCTTTCTTTCTTCTTTCTTTTGCATATCAACTAAAGGATCTTTGCAATGACAACTTGGGGGAATTTGAACTTAGTTTTGTGTGTGTGTTTCTTGTCAGCGCTGCTTATGCCATCAGCTCCAGGATGGGCTGAGACGTTGGCCTTGAAATAGATAGGAGAGGGACTGTGGTGTTTCTTCAGTTCTCCTTTCTCAGCATACGCTTCCGCCGAAGCCTCTAGGAGGTTCTCGTACCTCTTCTGTCCATCCCTGTCCTTTGGGCTTGGGTCTGAAAGCACAGACACCCTTCTGAGTCATTGTTTTTTATGCAGGAGTCCCCATTCTTTGTGGCTTTCAGACCTCATCTGCTCAGCAGCCATGCTGGAAATGGGAGATTTTCTGGTGTTTCTATTTATTTTTACCTTGGCTACAGAAAAGGCTGATTTCCAGGCCTTATACTAACGATGGACTGTGCTGGTGGATGGTGGGTTCCGTGTCAAAGTCGGCTTTCCACTTTGATTAAAGAACGAATCCGGCCTCATTACACATGGCTTCTGACCCGTTCACTGTCATCAGTAAAAAACTTCGGGACGTCTTCTTGAAAATAATCAAGTTAAGGCTTTTAAACAGTTGGCGAGGTTTCCTGATTCTGTCAAGCTCTTGTTATATGGGCAGATGATGCACAAGGATTGGCTTTGCCTCCAGGAGAAACAGCCAGTGGGATGAGTCCCCCTACGTAGTCATTTGAGAGCGCGTCCCAGGCACGGAGTGAACTAGACAGAGTCCTGCTGAGAATCCGTGCTCGCTTTGTCCACGTGAAGGCGTGGTGTTGACGTGGCTGACAGACGGACTGGTGTTTCTCTCCACAGAAGTGGATGGACGGAGGCCTCACCAACAGCCTTCCCATCCTGCCTGGTGGCCGGACCGTGACTGTCTCCCCCTTCAGCGGGCGGCTGGACATCTCCCCGCAGGACACAGGGCAGCTGGACCTGTACGTCAGTATCGCCAATCAACACATAACGGTGAGTGGTCGCGTTCACCGATATTTGAAGGGTCCTGATCTCCTGAAAGTTTCCGTGTGCTTCCGAAACTCTGGCAGCTCACCCATAATTTTAGGCAGTAGCTGCACCTTCTCGGTAGTACGTTTCTGAACACTTCACACATGTGTCGTGCATACAGATAGACCTGAACACCTGTAGCCCGGGAGTGTGCGAGTCTCTTACGGTTTAATAGCTGTGTGTGAAGTGTTTCCTGTTTCTCCCCTTCCTTTTAGGCTCCATAAACGTGCCAGGATTCCCGCGCCATTTTAAATTAGATCATTTCATTGTTTACGAAGGTGGCAGACATTAAGTATGGAAAAATATTGCAGAAAAACTGAGGGAGCCAACCGAATGATTTACGTAAAATGTTGATCCCCTCGATCGAGTCCTCCACGGGGACCAGTGTTAGACGCAGGAGACACTTGGCAATGTCTGGACGCATGTCGGGTTGTCACATCTGGGAGCTGCCACCGGCATCTAGCAGATGGGGGCCTGGGATGCTGCTCACCGTCCTCCAGTGCCCAGGACGCCCCCCACAAAGAGTGATGTGGCCCCAAATGTCACCAGTACCCAGGCTGAGAAACCCCCATCTAGTCTACGAGTGGCGCTCACTGTTCAAGTTTAACTTTTTCCTTCTGATTTTTAAAAATCACTCACTGCATCTACGAGCAGAAAGCTTAGGTTTCAGCGATAACGTACACTTCCCTGCACTGTGATGTCCTATAGCCTGAATTTGTCTTTCTATCCTAGTTGTCCCTGGCGAACTTGGTGAGGCTTAACCAAGCTCTTTTCCCTCCAAGCAAGAGGAAAATGGAATCGCTGTATCAACGTGGCTTTGACGACGCCATTAAGTTTTTACTTAAAGAAAACTGGTTCGAGGAGAATGCTGGAAATTAAGTTTACAGGGCTGAACACATTTCAGAACACATTTCTAATTCAGTCTTTTAAAAAACAAAAATTGTCGGAACTCTGTCCGATTAGTTTTGTAATAGATTTCTTTCCTTGGGATATTTAAGTTTTCACTTGCAAGGAAAGGAGGCACTTTATTAGAACTTGGTAATGTCATTGAGAAGGATACACTCGGGTGACAAGGGGTCGTTTTCCAGAACTGAAGTAGATCAACTACTACAAACCATGAAGAACCAAATCAACCAAGGAGCCTGTACATAAGAATTAAGTCCGGAATCATTGTTCACATATTATTTTTAAGTTTTACAGATGCCAGGTCTTCCATTTTTTGAGTAGTTGGCATGTCACCTCCAGGACGTGTGTGTGGGTTTCTACTCACCCGTGTTCACGGTCCTGACTCCTAAATCCATCTTTATGGGGCTTTGCCAAGCGTGAACTCTTAATTACTAAGAAGCTGTTAGAAACAAAGCAGTTTCATCGCATGCCTTTAATTGTTATGCATTTGTCTTTTTTATCTTTTGAAACCGTTCTTTAAATCAATTGGAGGATTCTTAAAATTCCCAATTACACAACTCTTAGCACATAAACACCAAGTTGCCCTCCTTTCCTATGCCTTCCACAGAGACTCGCTGTATAGCTCATGAGTTTCTATTTTTGGTTTGTATTTTTTTGGTTTTTTTCTTTGTTTGTTTGTTTTCTGACTGCAGCCAACTTGTATTATAGTTAAATCTGAATATGTCATTCTCATAAGTGACGCGAAGTGGATGGCTTTTCAGTTCATTCTTACATCTAAGTTTCACTAGATTTTTCACCTTTTACCGTTTGATGTGACAGTTCAGTAACTTCTTTGCGGATGCCTCCTCGAGCAGAAACCAACAGTAGTACACTAGATTCTTTAAAAAGTCTTTGGTGCCTACGGTGTGGGCCTTTGACCATGTGGGTGGATGGCACTTTCCTTGAAGAACGTTATAGGGTCATTGACAGATGGGTCTGCAGTACAGCGACACTCCACCACGGGGACGTGTGACCGTGGCACAAAGCACATAATGTGTGTGCACCGGGCATTCTCTGGGGGGAGGGGGGCCTGCTGTACCCAGTTCTGAGGGAAGGCAGGTCACAGAGTGTCCTCGCACCCCCAGGCTAATGGCTCTGCCGTCTTACCGGGGCCAGCGTTTCGGGGTGCTGTGGAGCAGGGTACGCCGAAAAGCTGAAGACACTTTCTGACCCAGATCCTGATATGTTTGCAGGGTAATTACAGTGATGGGCAGCTTGATAACGTCCCCGTTCCCTGGTGGGGCAATTTCCTCATATCCTCGAGTCTGTCATTTAAAATTTCATTAGTCTTGCTTTTCTTCTTTTCAATATCACCCTTTACCTTGTAACTATGGTAACCCGCTGCTTCCATTGACAACGAGAGAAGATAGATTTGGTTTTAAAGTTAAATACTGAGCTAAAGGAGCAAGCAGTGTATTAACAAAATCCACACTCTGTTACGTTCTGGAGTCACAGGACCAATGTGGCCGTGTGTGTCCGATGCTTGGGAAGATACAGGCGTCTGGCCTGCGCACTGAATTACGATTCCAAACACACACGAGCACTTCAGACACACAGATTTCAGTTATTCTGCTGCTGATTTTTTTCTGGTGATGAGAACAGACGCGTAGCATTACTTCTCTTTTTACATTGTTAAATATTCATCATTGAAGGCTTGCGTTGGGTCTAAAGCAGTCCAGCATTCATACAGTGGAGGACCCAAGGACGGAGGTTCAGGGTTCTGACATTTTTCTCGTCTAAGCTGTCTACGCTATTGCAAACTAAAATTGAACGTTGAAGCGATTATCCACATAACTCGAAGCAGGAGGAAAAGGCAGTGACTGCAGATCAGGAAAACAACAATAATACAAGTTGTTGTTATTGTTATTTGCAGATTGACAGTTTAGTTGGGCTGAATTCACCATGTCATTGCTCAGCTCTGCACTTCATTTTGCCTCTGGTCACACGACTCCAGGCTTTGCTTAGTCGATTCTAATACATATATTTATGTATTTCTCACATACGTCCCCTCAGGATCGTTTCCCCTGCCCCTCGATTGACTTCACGAGGGGCAAAAATAGGGTTCAATCTTTTCCATGCCATTGAAAGCGTTTCTGAATATCTGGTCCTGCAAAACTCATAATGATAGCATATCTGACTTAATCCTGTAATTAGGTCGGTTTTTTAAAAGTGTGAATATAGACATATATATATATATAATACATATGTATGTATTATACACATATATATGTGCACATACATACATACATACATACCTAAAATACAACAGTATGACATGTACATGTTAACTGACCTAAGGCTCAATTTCATTGTGTTTACAAATGTTCTTTAAGTGGTATACCGATGTATGATAAAAAAAAATATGGTGAATGTTTAAATTAAAGAAAATTTATAGTAAAAGACACATTGCCATTAATCGCACTCAAAATACATCCCCCTTGCTTCGAACACACTTCTCCCATCGTTCTTGCCACTTTCTGAAGCAGTTCTGGAAGTCCTCTTTCATGAGTGTCTTTAGTTGCACTAAGTGTCCTGAATCATTTTGACTTTGGGGAAGAGCCAGAAGTCACGGTGCCAGATCCGGTGAATAAGGTGGATGAGGACATACCGTCATGTTTTTATTTGACAGACATTGCTGTATTGACCAGAAGCAATGTGTGACATGAAGTATTGTTATGATGGAGGATGATTTATGGCACACTTTAAAACACACCTTCTCTCAACCGTAGCCCACACCCAACTGACTGCACCAAACAAGCTGAAACTTGGCACACGCTGTTACTAAGGTTCGACGTACCGCTTCCCATATTAAAGGTCCCTGCCTCTCTGTTGGATGGCGCTCAACAGCTGCATTCACTGTATCTGTTGATCACACCTTGTATATTCACATTCACTTCTGTGGGCAGACCAAGTGAAGTGCAGATTTATTGGTGTACGCCCCACTTCTGGAAAGCTGCACAGTTCAGCAGCCCAACAGCACACGCGCCCTCCTGACGGGCTCGTCAGCTTTTCGATGTGACTTTACGGCAGTGGGCAAGCTTGGGGCCCTGTAGGTGGGTCCCTGCGACCCAGGCTGATACCTGTAGGCTGAGAGCCTCCTTAGACGTAGAACTGCTCCAGGTCCCGTGCTCGAAGGTGCCAGCCACATGAGGTGTTCTCCCGCTGAAGACTGGACTTGAGCCACACAAAGATTCTGTAGAACATGGGTCCATTCCTGGTCTCGGGGAGCTCACCCGAGCACGTAAGACCAGGAGGATGTGACAGCGTTCAGGGCACACAGCCTCGTGAGAAGCCCAGGAAGGCTGAGGAGGTGCAGGGTGGCCCCTTTCCTCACAAAGCAGGTAGAGAGCGTGGCGACATCCTGCTGTCCGTTGCTCGCCAAGCCCAGAGCTCCACCGTCACCCTCCACCCATCCCTCACCTGGATGGGGAAGATCTGCTGGCCGAGAGGCCCAGCACGACACCTGTTCAAATCCAGGAGTTGCTTCAGAAAAGGGCTCCCATCCCGACATCAGGGACATCGCTCCATGGGGCCCCCTTCATGGTGCTCCTGAGACTTAGTTCCTGGCAGGGCTGTGGAGTTGGGAAATGAAGCAGCCTGCGGCAGATGGTCCAAGGGGGTTCCGAGCACCAATCCGTCCGAAAGAGGGATCTACTATTCCTTTTCTGACTGTTCCTTCCACTGGCTGAGCAGAATCTTGGTAGTGGGTGGATGATGTCATCATCTTTGCCGAGACAGCTCAGCCCACGCAGGCTGCTGGAGCATAATACCATAGACGGGGTGGCTTAGAAACCACAGACATTCACGTCTCGCAGTTCCCGAAGGCCAAGGTCAAGGCACCGGCAGCTTCGGGGTCTGTCGAGGGCCCGCTCCTCCCTGTGTCCTCGAATGGGGGAACGGGCGACGGAGCCCTCCCCAGTCCATTGCCTAAGGGCACCAATCCCACTCACAAGGACGCCACCCACCAGATCTAATCCTCTCCCAAAGACCCCCACCTCCTGATACTGTTATACTGGTGCATTTAGGTGGGGATTGGGGCACAAACAGTCAGCCTACAGCACAAGGGGACATCAATCTGCTGCTCTACATACAGTGAGGAGAGTGAGAAATGTACCCAAAACCCGGGTAATCCCCCTGGTTACCCCTGTTACCACCGCGAGTGCCATCGTTCATGGTAGACCACTGCGACCTGAGGTGGCCAAAGCAAGGCTACAGATCACTTGCAACTGAAGACTTTAATTGTTCCACCGGAAAATGGGCTCTGGTGCCTTGAGCTGTGGCTGCAAGCCAAATGTGTATGGAAGGAGCATGACTGAGGGAGGTCAGGTCTGGCCCAGCAGCAGGGCCAGCCCCGGGGCATGGTGGGAGCCTGCTCTGTCATGTCCTTCGCGTACATCCTGACTCTAAGACAACCAGAGCAAGTGCATCTATTTTACATACAAAGATATCAACACCATTTGCATGAAACAGAACCCACTCTCCTTATATGTAATGCTTCTTGGTATTTGTATTCCATTTTATTAAAAAACAGTAGGACACGTTCAAATGATTTTATATACACTAATGGGTTGTGAATAGATTCTGAAAACACTATGCTAACCCAGTTGTAGAATAGCACAGACACTGAAGTTTTTCATTTGTGTTTAAAATGCCTTTATTTATTTATTTAAAAAAAAAAGCTTTCGCATAAATATGGCACGGTAGAATAATCACTACGGTATTTGAAATAATTTTCTTTTTATTTCTCTTCTCAGCATAAGTCTTAGATATATTTTATCTAATTTTACGGCTACCGAACATCTAACAAATAATTTTTACTCCAAAACACAATTGTTTTCTATAAATAGAGTATTTTACTACCTGCTGTAAGACAGCTATAAATAAAAATTCCTTAGTTTATGCGTATTTCATTTATATAAATCTACTAAAATGGCGACAGTAATCACATATTGGAAATCTTTGATGAATTTTATAAACCAGGACATATTTTTATTTTTCAGCTACATTGTAGAGTTTCAAATAGTACAGTGAAGGTATCTTTAAATATGTTAATACTGCATATCTTAACATAGGTCATGGCCAGCTTTCAACAATGATCATATCAGTAGTCGGCTAGATTCTCTTCTGAAGAATTTAGTATTTCAGGCTAATGGTATGAAGAAGTCCAGTTGATTTCATTGTCAGTTGTTATTTTACACACGAACAATATATATTATGTTGGTTGTGAAGTTTTGCAGTGCCTATATGCTTCCTGTCAGTAACATATAATCAACTTGCTATTAAAAATGAATGCCCACGCAGTTAGAAGCAACTCCACAGGCAATATGGTAGAATACTTTGCTTCAAGATCTGTCTGTGATTCCAGTGTTACGCTCATTTATCACATTTGCTGAGAGGCAATAACTCATTGCTTGGCACCCTTATCATTTTAACATTGTCATTTAAGTATTGGCTATTACCAGGAAGATTACCACTGTGCACATTTCAAAATACCAGTGATTTGTAAAATGTTTACATGCATTAGAGGGACCGATAGATGTTTCGTCTGTTCCTCTCTGGCCTGCTTCATCAATATTTATTGAGAATTTAGTAGGTGCCAGGATCGACGCAAAGATGCTTGAGACGCAAACGTGAACAAATGGAGTAGGTCCCTGACTCCGGCAGTATTCATTTTCCTGGGTCAGGACACAGTAACAAGTAAATGAGCAAACCAGCAAGGTTTTAAAACTGCAGATTGTATGAAGTGCAAAAATAAGTAGAACAGAGTGCTGGTCTCTACAGTAATGGGAATGGCCTCATATAAAGCATCCCAGGGTCAGCAAGATGGTTCAAAAAGATGGTTCCATTTCCTCAAGATGCCGTATTTCCATTGGCCGGGAAATTATCGTACTGTTGTCCTTGGAATGGCGATCTTCACAGTCTTTGATAGGCATTCCACTTGACCAACCAGATGTGGGCAACGTTTTGAAGACACTGTTAAGAGATACTGGCTCTTGGTGGTACTGTTTTGTCCGTTGGCCGGGGTGCTGTTGCAATGGATCCTTTTTTCAATGCTTTTCATCTTGGGTTCACTTAATAAGCTTTTGTCACAGATGATGCAAATCACTGATAATAATAATAAAAACATTCTTGTTTTTTGTCATTGTGGGAGTGTATTTCAGTGTTCTCAGTGCTTGCCAGAGGGATAGGCAGCGTGTCCATACAGCTCACCTTTTGTAGCACAACCCCACTTTTTTTTCAGTTTTATTTGGTCCAGACAGTCTTCTTTTATGTAACTATATAGTATTTTTTTGAAGCTCAAGGATTCATTGACACATCTATAGCAATATATGAAAATTAACAGTACTTTTATACCGGTAGAATTTAAAAAGTGGAACAATGCATTGACAGCAGCAACAATGGTACATAAACATCTTAAAACTGTGCAAGACGCATATGAAAACGCTACACACATAGCTACTGACGTGTTAATGACATCATGTTCCAAAATGGGGGGATTGAGTTCTCTAGGATTGTTGTCTAGTTTCCTCACAGTAAACCACAAGTTTTACACATTTCCGTCACGCTGTCTGTCAGTGTTTTCGTTTTCAGGCTGTGATACATGGAGGTTAAAGTTCATCTGGCAGAATGAATGTTCAATGACAGCCCAAAAAGGTTAAGTAAGTGTGTAACCTCAACTTTCTTCGTTTCTTCCGATTTTCTCTCCGTGTCTTTTGTCCATTTTTCTGAGGTGTTAGAGATGTTCCTTACTTAAGAGAAGCTGAAAGATGAGATTGTTTTTAGGACAGTGCATTGTCCCAAGTTTGTGTTGTGTGGGAAAGAAACCAAAATCAAATGATCTTAAGTGAAAGCAGGATATGAGGAAGAGGTAGGTGTGACTGGTACACTTGGCTATTAAACCCAGCATGTACCTGGCACACCTGGGCACAGGTGCTCCAAAGAGACCATCAGACATCATTTATCTTTACAACAGCTTGTCTCCAGGTGGTGACTAAGGTGGCTGCTGTCTGAGGAAAACTCACATTTTACCACAGAATTGGCCACAGGGCATAGGGAGGAATTGTATTTTGTTTATTTTAGTAGGAACGTGCACCAGAAAATTCTGTTGGGCTTAGTGAGATGATGTGCCATCTCTGACCTCCGGTGGGTGAGGGGGCTAGCTATTCAGACAGTTCAGGCTTAAAGCCCATAGTCACCTCTTTGGCCTGAGGCTCACACACTGTGGAAAGAGGTCAGTACTGAAATATGTTCATTACTGAATTTTCCTAAAGAATAGCATGGCTGTTTGCACAGTCATGCTGGGAGAAGAATTTCTCT